ACACACACACACACACACACACACACACACACACACACACACACATATATATTTAAATATATCTTTATGATTTTAGAGAGAGGAAGGGGGAGGGAGAGAAAGAGAAAGATCAATGATGAGGGAGTCATTGATCAGCTGCCTCCTGCACGCCCTTTACTGGGAATCGAACCCACAACCCGGGCATGTGCCCTGATCAGTCGAACCGTGATCTCCTGGATCATAGGTCGATGCTCAACCGCTGAGCCACGCTGGCCAGGCAAAACAAAATATATTTTTTAATAAAATTATCCCTAGAAATGAAAGTAAAATGAACTTAAACTGTATTCACTTGTTAGCATTAGCACACAGAGTCTCCCAAGTAATTTGAATATACATCCCTTAGAGGGCTATTCCTTAACAACAACAATAAAAACTCCAAAAAAATGATTACTGTGTTCAGTAATCATTGTTGTTCTGAGGTTGTGTTTGTAGTGTGGGATAAGTCAAATGAATTATGTTGAGGATATTGAGACTAGATATTTTTTGACATGATTAAAAGGAAATACAGATGTAAGATTGCCGATAAGGTTAAATGAAAATCTGTGTTCTTGAATTGCTAGCATTAGTAGGAACTCATAAGATATTTTTAAGTACATTTGTAAAATTGTCTTCATATGTGTAATATATACATATTGCACATACATGTGAATTTCCTAGTTCTGTCCACTAAAAAGAACCAATGACCAATCCAGTAGCAACGAGCACTACTCATGCCTGGATTGTGACCTCTAAATACCATTATCTGCCAAAAGTAACCGGGGGTTTTTGGGAAAATGGTTGATTCCAGCCTGGGGCATTAAATGTACAACATTTTCTTGGAACATTTTGTCATACCAGAGAGCAATAAAAGATTACTAAAGTTATGTCAAAAACTCGGGATCCAAACCTATTCATATAAGTGCCACTGGTTGAAGATGAACAGTTGAAGCATCAATAAAGATGATAACTTAATGGACTGAAAAAAACATCAACTATGTTGTAACCCACAACTTTATAACGATACTACTAAAACAACAGTACTCAGTTTTCCTTTTATGATCTGTATCTCAAAGAATTGATAAGTTGAAGTTTCTCTTTGTAGAAGTTTTCAGCTAATCAAGGAATGGTGTAGTTAGAATAGCATCATTTTGCAATGCAAATGAATTAATGGACTTAGGCAATGATCACAAAGACTATCAACATTACAAAGAAACAGCTAGGCATTATGTATATTATGATGGAAGTACATAATACTACCCAGGAAGTAGTTTTGCTTAGTAGTAACAGTAGAAATACCAGAATCTGTCCAGGCCTCTAGATCTAATCGCCAATTTATTGGAAATATAGAGCACAGAGGAGCAAACATTTCCAAGACAGCTGGGGAAATGTAAACACTGACTGGAAAACTCAATTCTGAAGAATTAGTCTTCTTTTTTGTGTGCGATGATGGTAGAGTGGGTTTTTTTGTTGTTTTTTTTTAAGTGCTTATCTTTTAAGGATACATTTTGAAATATTTACAGATAAAACAATATGCCTAGGATTTATTTCAAAATAAGTGTGGAGAAAACAGTGATATAGATGAAACAAGATTGGACATACATTGATAATTGTTTAAGCTAGGTGATGGGTACAGCTGATGCATTATATTAGTCTCCCTGCTTTTGTATATGTGAATATTTTGAAATAAAAGTCACAGGAGAGTCCTTTTTCTCTGTAACGTTGGCTTTAAAGTCTACTTTTTAAAATGAACATTGCTATACTAGCTTTCATTTGGTTGGTGCTTGGATGGTGCATTTTTTCCATCTTTTGACTTTCAATCTTTCTGTATATTTAAGGGCTGTCTTTTGTAAGCAGTGTTTAGTGGGTTTTTAACCTTTTTATCCACTTTGAAAAATTTCAAGTCTTAATTGGAATATTTGGAACTTTTACATTTAATGTAATTTTTCATATACTTGGGTTTCTAAATATCGGCTTCCTGTCTTCCCATCTGTTCTTTCTTTTTCCCTTCTCTTTTCCTGCCTCTATACTCATTCTTTTCTTTTAGTGGTTACCCTAAGGATTAGCACATGAATCCCTGACTTATCAAAGCCTAATATAAATTGGTACTTCTTCCTAGACAGAGTAAGGACCTTCGAACACTATACCTTCATTTATCCCCTTCTAACTTACATGCTACGCTTTTTATATATTTTTTTCTTTATCTGTTTAAGCCCACAAAACATCATCATTGTTTTATAAAGTTAATGTTCATTTATATGTACTCATACTTTTAAAAAATGTTGCTCTTCATTCTTCCCTAAACCTCCAAGCTTCCTCCCGAGATCATTTTCCTTCTCCCTGAAGAGCATCCTTTACACTGCCAACTCCCTGTGATTACATGGCCACGTAGGAAACTGGTATTCATGAAAGCATTAATGATCATGAAACCCTGAATCAACTATTATTAGCTTTCCTTAGGGTAGGAAACTTTTCTTTCAAAAGGTTACAGTTTTTATTTGTGTTTCAGTATGCTCACTAACCTGCTTGGTCTGATCAACCCTGAGCACATCTGGTTTGAAAACTTACTTTGATGAACTGTGGCACAGAGTCATCCATGCTGTGATAATCATCAGACCAGACAGCTCCCTGTAAAATAGCATGCATTTCATATTTCTGAAGTGACTGCAAGTGAGATGCGTATCGTCCCATTATCTCCAGGACACTTGATTTCTGATTACTGAATGACTTCCCCCAAGATATACAGCATCTATACAATATTTTCAAGTCTGGCATGATTTGTACATTACTTTTCTCAGCTTAAATCCCTGTATAAAAATACCATCTTGTGAAGCAGATAGGAACTCCATGACTGTTCACCAACTTAGAAGTGAACAAAAACCAATAAAAAGCACAGCTAAAGCACTTCATGTCACGGGAGAATACTACAACCAAGAAATCTTCAGCTTTGCCAGGTATGCTTTTTACACTGTATTTATAGTGTCCAGTGTTAGGCAGATTGAGCACAAGTCAATAATTGGAGCATATATTGTGGAGATTGCGTCACATCTTTGTGGACAGAAATGATTTGTAGTGTGAACCAGACTAATTTTGGGGTGGGCATGTGCTAGAAATAAGTATTAAAAGCACTTAACGCCCAGCTGGTGTGGCTAAGTGGTTGACTGTCAACCCATGAACCAGGAGGTCACGGTTTGATTCCTGGTCAGGGCACATGCCAGGTTTTGGGCTTGATCCCCAGCATGGGGTGTGCAGGAGGCAGCACATTGATGTTTCTCACCAATGTTTCTCTCCCTCTCCCTCTCTGAAATCAATTAAAAACATATATTGAAAAAGCACTTACCTTTTAGAAAATAATTATATTGGTCATAGTACCACTGGAAGCCCCATTTTGAGTTCACCATACCTTGTAGGCTTCATGCAGGTGGAGGTGGTTCAACCCATTTGGCTTACGTTCCCATTGAGGGGCCCAACCTGATCGAGCTTTCCAAAGATTAGGGCCTAATGTAGCAGCGCCTCATCAGTGATGCTTAACTTACAGTGTAAGTCTCCCTATTGGCAGGTGTTAGCAACGGGATAAAAAAAAGAGGAATCCAACTATCAGGCCGGGAAGTCAAGGCTGGGAGGAAGCAAAGGGTGAGTTAATAATAAATGGCCCTGACAAAGGGAGACTGAGATATGCCAGGGCAAGGCTGAAGGAGGTTGACTTCTGAGGTGACTGACTGGTCACACTTGGAGATAAGACTTGGGCTTGAACCAGAACTGAGTCAGTGCTGATGGAGTTTTCACCTGATTAGACTGAACTATGACTGTATAGTACCCTTGCTCATTATAAGGGGACCAAGTCCAACTGCCTGATGGTAATATAATGGGATATGCAATGGCTGCCAGGAGAAGTGATCATGGAGTGCGCTAGATGGTGCTGGGTTTGAGTGTGGTTCCATCATTTCTTTAGTTTTGCAACTTGTAGAGGAGATAATGCCTTCCCTGCACTTCATGGTGTGGTTGGAGATATTAAATCACTGCACAGACAGAGTGTTGTAAAGGAACAGAAGATTTTTCAGTTCCTCCCGGCCCCTCCAGAGAGCAAAGTCGGTGCTCACCTGCCTTCTTCCTCGTGTAAGATGTTCCCTTGTGTGTGAGACAGCAGGTAGTACGCCAGGATGGCAGCCCACACCATGCAACAGAACGTGTGTACTGCAGACACACACCTCCAGATAAGGTTACCTGAAAGCACAGGTCACAGAATCACATTCCAGGGGAAAATGGTCTCTGTATTTGCTTTGCTGTAGTCTGCTTTCAGACAAACTTTCAGAATTGGCTGGGTTTTGTCTTGTTTTATTTTGAGGGAAATCACAGAAGTTAAAGCCATAATTATAAACTTAGTGGACATTTATTATTTTGGTTGTCCAGCATCTCCTTTCCCTTACTTTCTTTGGGAATTCACTTTTCCCACACTCCAGGAGGTGGGTCTAACCAAGATCTTCCCTTAGCGACAGCAGTTTAGCTCAGGATGAACAGATGACAAAGGGCCAATGACTCAATTCTTGAGACTCTTGTGGAGACATCAAAGAAGTGGATTCTACATTCTGTTGGACTTAGTGTGGTGAAGATGTGAACTTTGAGCTGCCAGGCTACCATGTGGAGCCCAAGACTAAAGTCAGTGCAATAGATGGTGGAACTGAGTACAGAGAAGTGTAAATTCTGAGCCCAGTGCCTGAAGCCAGCACACCGTTGCCTTGCCACTCAAGTATCCCAGTACATCTACTTTTTAGCTTAGAGCCCATGTGAGTTTAGTTTTTCCTTGCTTGCAATGAATGGGTCCCTAACTTACGCACTTTAAAGATGCAGACAGAGTTCTAGGGGCCTATACAAGGAGCCCATGTACCTAGGGGACAGGAGTTTTCCCCCCACCCAGGCAGGACTCGGTCTTTATTCTGAGGCCCTGAGAACTTTCAAGCCCTACTTGTAGAAGCTGTTTTAAAGAAAGTAAAGAGTAACTTGCAGGGTAATATTCTCCATTAATAAGAAAATGTTAGCAAGTAATGTAAAATGTATTTTTTTCTAAGGCGCTGTTTTATAGTATAAAACTGTCCAACTTAAGGTTTGTTGGGAGTTTTTAGGGCCATAAAAAGCAAAGCAGCTACATTTTGCCCATAACTGAGGTAGGTACCCTATGGGTAATACAAACCAGCTATGTTGAGTGAATTTTTTACATGTATACCCACCTAGGATAGATACATATGTAAGGAATCTGAGAAGTAGGTTACAAAATAAATATAGGATAAAGCCTGTGTTTTACAGCCATTCATTCACAAGCATTTTATTAAGTATCTCCATTCAGAATCCAAGGTTCATACCTGTGACAAGAGGATTGAGTCCAACAAGCAAGGTCAGCACTGCAGGAATCACATACACAACCTGTTAGCAAAAGGAGAGGAAGTCATGTGGGTTAAGAATTATGTCCAACATAGATGTTCAGAAGTATTGAGGAAGTGAAGAAGATGTCAGTGGCCATCACATTCCATGATTTACCTTGGGTTTCAGTAACTGTTGAAGTGGTAACCAGAGAGAGGAAGGGAGAGGGGAGAGAGAGAGAAACATCAGTGATGAGAGAGTCATTGATGAGCTGCCTCCTGCAGGCCCCCTACTGGGAATCAAGCCCACAACCAGGGCATGTGCCCTGATAGGGAATCAAACCAAGATCTCGGATCATAGGTCGATGCTCAACTGCTGAGCCACGCTGGCCAAGCTAACTGTTTTTATGGCACTTACCACATCAGGTCATAATTTTATCTGCTTTCCTCCTAGACCGTAGGCTATTCCAGGAAAGGCTCATTCATCTAGCACTGAGCAGAGTTTGGGTCTCAAGACATTCTGACCTCCTAAATCTCTCCCAAGCAACATCCTGCCCAAATGGCCTTTCCCCGTTTGCATGAAAGAAAGTGATCTTTGAAAAGTAGGGCAGGAGTAGCCATAATCAGATGGCCCTGCTGGGTCTGGCACCGAGGACCATCCAGCCCACTATTCCATCTCTGCAAGTGAGCACAGCAAGTTTACTAACGATCAATCAGATGTGCCCAATAAGACCAGGCTCATCATCTTATGAAAACATGTCTGTCTTGACTCTGGAGAGAGAACATCTGGATTATACAGATTCTGTTTGCCTTTCCTACTTCATCCCTAATGATTACTGGTATGTCCTTGGCCATCTCTCACAGGTGGATAGACTTGCTACTGAGGGTTAGACCAGTACTTCCTGTGCTTTAATGTGCATATGAATTACCTGGAGATCTTATTAAATGCAGATATGATTCTAGAATTCTGGGGTAGGGCCCAAGATTCTGCTTTTCTAATAAGTTCCCAGGAGAGGCTGCTGCTGTTTTCCAAGAACCACACTTAGAGCAGTGGGGGGTTTAGTTTCCCCCTGTGAAAATCTACATGACTTAGCCACTGAGGAGAGGGAGAGTTTCACACACAGACCGTACAATATTTAATTGTGCTTTACATAAGAAATGTTTGGCAGAGATTTTTAAAATGTGCGCTCAAGTATATGTGGTATCTGTGACTAATAGATTAAAGCAGGGGTGGGGAACCTTTTGTCTGCCAAGGGCCATTTGGATATAACATCATTACTGGGCCATACAAAATTATCAGCTTAAAAACTACCCTGCTATATTTGGTCAAACATTTAACTCACCCCTAATGTGATGGCTGGAGCTGCTTCTCTTTGGTGAGGACTTGGCAGGGCCAGACCAAATGATTTCTGACCTGATGGCCAGACGTTCCCCGCCCCTGGATTAAAGGGTCTAAAATCTTACTTCAGTATATTGTAAACATATGAACAGAACAAGCCATAAAACTAAGTAACATCTTGAGAAGTGACAAAAGTTTTCAAAGTAGGGAGCCAAATATAGGAAGTGTTCTCAGTGGAAGATTAGAGGCAGCTAGAAGAGCTAAGAAGCCATTACAAGGGTCCATGTGGGAGGTAATGCAGAGCTAAGCTGGGAATGAGGGAGGACAGCTGGGTTTATTCATATTATGCCATCTAAGCTTGAAGTGAAAGGTAAAGCGCACAAGTTCTGTACAGGTAAGTAATTAGACTACACTGGGGTTTTTGTTGTTTTGTTTTTTTTGAGGGGATGTCAGACAGTGGTAAGGAATAGAGAGATGTTCCGGATGACAGGTTTTGAACGACAGTGACTCAGAGAATGAATCTGCTGAGAATAGAAATTGGTGAGTCAGGAGTGGACTTTGGAGGGAAAGATGCTGGGTAGGACCTTGGGTGTGTTTGAGGAGCCAGGGTGACATACAGGTGGGTGTATCTAGCAGTCTTTTGTAAATTCAACATTAAACTGTATAATGGAGGCTTGTCTGCAGGGAAATAATATTTGGAACTAAGGATACAAGCTAGAGTGCTGAGGAAGAGGCAATTTTATTTGGAGCAGAGAAGTAAATCTGGACAATGTGAAGTGTACTTCTGCACGAAAAACCTGACTAGAATTTTGCATTATAATTCCCAATGCTTTCACTTGATAATACGTTCATGGTTGACATTATCCCAAAACCTAAAATCATCGCATCGGTGATATTGTGAGGTCTTGTGTATCTGTGCTGAACGAAACTGGACAAAATCGGTATTTCAGAAAATGTGTGGAATGATTCCTTCTCCAAATGGTTTAATGGTTCAATGTATATTGCAGGTTTTATGGGCTTCAGTTACTTTCTATATTACTCATAGATTTAGCAAAACCAAAAATCTTAAGCCTTAAGCCTTTTCTGGTCAGATGTTTGTTGGAATATCTGGGTAGAAACTCATGAAGAGTGGTTCAGTTGACCTTGAGGGTTCTACTCAGAGATGCCCTCAAAAACAGTATCCTCAGACCATTTTATTCAAAGGGAATACTGCTGAAAAACCGTGTCTCTGGAAAATTCTGAATTGTCACACACACTACCTTATTTCTCTGACCCATTTCCCCCTAATATTTTAGGGAAGAGAGCTTACAAGTGCTTTGATTTCTGAGTATTTAAGTACACAAACTGGAGGGGGTGGCAGCAATAGATACGACTGTGTGTGGTGCAGTCCCACAGTCATTTCAGACGGAGGGCAGCAGCGCGTACTCACCACCCAGAGTTCTGCGTCGGGATCGTTTACCTGGAAAGCCAAAATACCAGCGGTTAGCAGACGCGCTGTCAGCACCCACTCCCGTCCTGGGCCTGCCCTTTGAGTCCTCCGGGTCACTTGCTACATGCCAGACGCTGCGACAGCGCCCGGCAGGCACGGAGGACACAAAACGGGAGTAAGACCCGGTCCAGCCGACCGCGCTGGGAGACGGCTCCCGGCCGCGCGGCAGGTGGGCGGCCGTCCCGCCCCCACGGTCCCGTGAAGCAGCGTGGAGGAGCCGGGACCGCGGGCCAGCGCTGGGGTGCTGTCCCGGCCCCGAGT